CATTTATTGCTAAATGATAGAAGACATACTATAGAAAAAGTACAAGCTGGTTATTAACTCATGAACTTTACTGTAAGTCCTCAGCCTTTCTTATCACTTAACTGATGGATAACTTTATGATATGTAATACTTAGAGCCTAAAGTCTAGTAAACTTTGAACTTATATTAACTTTAAATTGAAAACTAATAGGAAGTAATGAGCTCAGCTTCCTGGAATCCCACAGACTTTAGCATAGAGTCTTAGAATCGACAGCTATTCAGAGCACGCAGCTCGACTATTTTACGATCGCAGAGTGTTGTTACCATGTACCACGCTCATTTAGCAAGTCGAGTGACAAACCAATTTTCATTCTACGAATGGCTTAAAGACAATAACAATCGGTGGGGCCCATATATGGCAGTTAGCACTTAGCAGCAGCAGCAGTCCCAACAAAGTTTGCGGCAATTGTAGATGGTTGGTTGGTTGGATGGATGGAGCGGAGTAATGAACTTGTCAGCCATGTTTTCAGGGTGTGCTCTGGGCCCAAGAAAGCTGACTTTAAGTATATATATCATCATATAGCATAGAGCATATATACAAAGTGCTCCAATTGTTCGGGGGAGTGTAGTGTGCGAGGCCTGGGAATCGAAGATAAAGGTAATCCATTTGACTTGACGATATCTACGACTGTCACCCAGTCTGGCTCTGATTTGAAAACTATGCACAGCTGCGCCATTTCGTATGCCAGAGGCTTGGGTTTGGGTTTGGGTTTTTGGTGTTTCGGTGTTTTGGTGTTTTGTGTTTTCGGCTGACTAATGAAACCGAACAATAATAATTTAGTAAGTCTAGACCTACGCATGCGCAAAGGTGGATTCGATGCCTGGCAATTGTCACAGCTCCGAACGCAATTTGTCGCCGTCGCAGACGAGGAGTGGAAGTCACTGAACCCGCTCGGGCCAAAGCTTTTTCTATTACTTTTTTCACTCTATAACTTTACACAGAGAGAAATCTTGAGTGATAAAATATGAGAGATGTGAATATGAAATAATATTATGATTGAGAACTGTAACTTCTTTCTTAATCATAGAATTTCTTAGAATTCTTCTAAAGTTTCCACGAAATTGTTTCCTGTGCAGCTCTCTCTCATTCACTCTCTGTTTATTTTTGGGTGTAGGCCAGGTCGGACGCAGACAAAGCCGCATTTGACAAAGGAAAATCTTAGAGTTTTCATTTTTTAGCTAGTTACAATTGCAAGTAGCACACAGCCATTGGCCCAGCTATGTATTTTGCTGGCAACTGCGCAGGCGCGCGTGTGCGTCATGAAATTAGTTTATTTGTTTGCATAAATGTGGCCCCGTCAGTGTGCCGGTGTATGTGTGTAATTTTTGTGTGCAACAAATTTCTAATAAATTCGTTGTTTCGGCACCCGTGTCATGCACACCTGGAGCATAATTCGCCCTCAGCCGATCCAAACTGAGCCGAACTGTGAGCTCAACTGAGCCATGAGTCAATTTCCGTCAGCTGGGCCAGCTGAGCAGCAGCCGAAGGAGAAACTTTGCCTTGCCGCCGCACAAACTACTGATTCTGGCTTATAGGTAATTTGGCCAACTTAAGACAAATGCCATTAAATGGGCCAAGGAGTCATTGGCTGTGATGTAGCCATAGGAATAACTTCAACTTTAAATTCTTAACAGATTGCCATATTTTGTCACAGTTTACTGATAAAAAGAATGGTATTTAAGTTTAGAATTTCAAGAAATTTTCTGACTTGGTTTATCAACGAAATCTGCTAGTTTCTGTTATGTTTTTTCCTGGAAAATAGTTCCAAAAAGTTTTAAATTACAACTTTTTCTAGTTTCCAGTTAAAAATTTTTTTTTAAATTTCAATTATGTTGATTATAAATATGTATTTCCCTTGAAAAGCGCTTACTAATACTTCATTTAATTTGAAAAATATTGATTTAGTTCCAAAGTGATTTAAGGTAAGGAATCTTGAGTATTGCCAGAAAATCGTTGAACCCCTGGGATAGGGAAGGCCACTTAGCCCTGAAAACTACTCGGAACGGCGTTAGAACAATAAACAGGGCACAAGAAATTCTTTTCTTTGATTTCTTCTTAGTTTCCCCTGATTTAGGCATCGCACATCGCAACACACATTCAAATCAGTGAATGCCTGCCACTCGAGTCGAAAGAGGCCCGAAAAGCATATAAAAAACAAACTCGCAGGATGGGGAGCTCTTTTGGGCCACTTGAGCGTTCGATGACATTTCGTTTTTAGTTTTCTCTGTATAATTATTATAATACATAAATTTATATGCTATACAACAGCACAGCAGCCCAGCAGCACGGCAGAGGTTCTTCTCAACTGGAAGTAAGAAATTTGTTAAATCATTTCGAGTGCTTGAGAGTTTAACGATTCCCAGGTTGAGATTCGGATCTGACCATAGCTGTACTCGATCATAAAAGCGGTGATAATGTGTGCTCCACTTACTAGCCATTCCCATTTACTCCATTTACGCTGAACTATAACGCTGGTTTAACTTGATGACAAAGATAGTTCAGCTACTAAGGCATGCCGCAGAATACGTTCGTTAATTTGTGGTAATTACCCACACAGAGGCCTGCCGGGGCATTGGATTTCATTTCGGAATACGTACTTACTATACTGTTAGTGTATATATATCGGGCATGGTCTGGTCTATAACTATAACTATAACTATAACTATATAACTTAAGCCATAAGTCTCCGGCGGTGGGCAACAATGCCTTGCTTTATTTTAAGGCACAAGGTTGACTTTTGTTGCCCCGCTCGGTCGGATACGTCCGTGTGTAGGTTCACAATTGTTAACTTCGAGTAGAGCATGTAGATTCAGTAATTATTTTCCGTTTTTATATTAACAGGCCACAAAAAATAGATAACGAACAGTCATACACACGCTCGCAAAGCGGCCAAAATCTAAACCAGTTTGCTTATTTAATTTCAATGCTTAGTCTTGAAGTCGCATTGATTGGAATGATTATTTTTATGAATGTCTGTGAGCTGTGTCAGTGCCAAAAGTGGAGTGGCAGGAAAACAATTGTACAATTTTTGACTTACGTAATTGTTGTTTAAGTCGCTTTCTAAGACAAAATGGGCAGCTTCTTAATCGGGAGATCCTTTTCTCAACTCAAAGTCAGATTTGGCATGGCGACGTTTCAGAGTTATTTCGCATCTTCCAACTTTATCTTCGACTAACTTGGCTGGGCCCCACCCTGGCCGAAAGGCGGCACTCGACTCGAATTTAAATGATTTTGGCATTCTTGGCAGGCACTGACAAAAAAGAGAGCTTCTTTATGCCATTCTTAATGAAATTAAAGTGGAAAAGAGGGAACATACAAGGGAAAAGAATAAAGTATCTTGCAGATACTTGATAGGCATCCCTCTTTCTTTCTGTGTACAATCCGGAATGAAAAGGTTTAAGCACCCCCCTGTACCTCATGACTAAAATTTAAACGTTGCCGTAATAATTAATTGTTTGCTAATAAATATGAATTTATATATAGGAAGAGTACAAATAATGATAATAATAATAGCGCACGCGCCGCGTTCGTTCGCTCGGCAATGACTAAGTCTCCTTTCTGTCTTTCTGTCTTTAAGCAAGCGATGTGTACGAATGTACATATCTAGATACGTAGTAGGTATGTACTGTATTCGATATATGTACATATATATAAATTGTAAATCAGATACGGCATAAATATTGAACACATGGCGCAGTTTCTACAGCCAAGAGTTGTGGGTGTTCGATGGGGAGAGGGGCCTGGGGGCGAATCCAGCGAGCGACTGAACAAAATTGAAATAAAATAAAGCACCATAAAACGTACTTAAGATTGACGATTGTGTGTGTTTTTTTTTCTTTGGTTTTGGTTTTTGGGGGAACGAGCGATCAATGAAAGAGTTTTTTAGGGAGACGATACTTAGCAAGTACAGTTGAGTTTGGGTTTGGACGGGGGACTCTTTCAGATGTCTATATAACAGGCATAGACACATGGCATTAAGTTAATTTCGATAGCATAAGGGCCTTCCCAATCTAATTAATATATATTTTGATGACTTAATTATAGAGGAATGTGTCCTTGATTCGAGGGCAAGTCAATGTTCTAAGCTAACCAGAAGTTGAGTAAGGAACCCGTTGAATATGCATCTATATTCAGATATATATTTATATAGTACTTTTGAATATACTTGATTAGATATAATTGGCTGTCAGTACGACTCTTGATCACCCCACTCGGCCAGCCGCACGCATACTCTTGCCTTGGGTAAACACACAGATACTTTTTCGAACCAAACAAAATGTCGGCAGCTGGTTTTTGTGTGAGTTTTGTTAGCTTATAAATTAAAACGCGTTTCATGCTTTTTTCCCTTCGTCTTCTTGCGGGCGTTCAATTCATTCGATTGTTCGGATTCATATTCTTTTTAGCCCATTTCGTTATGCCTTGGCAGCATTATATATCCCCGATATCGCTCACACCTCCCTCCTCCTCCCTCCCCACTCAGTTCATCTGTCCGGCTGTCCGCCTGTCTGCTAATTGAAAATCAATTAATGTGACTGCATCCATAGCTGCTCGGCAATATCAGCGGCAGTCATGTCAAAGTCAGATATCATCCGGGGTACAATAATTCCACTGGAGTAAGACAAAAAGAAGGCAATTCCAGACCCAGACCCAGACCCGAACTCGGACTCGGACTCAGAGTCAGAATCCTTTTGTCTCCACTGACTCTCCTGTCCGAGAACAAACATTTAATTGATGTGCCCCAAGTAGCACTCGATTGTTTTCGCCTTTGCCCGAATTCATCATCTCAGGTTCATTGGTTCTTGAAGTGCGTCCGAAAGCACGTTCTTATGGTAAGAATCTCGGCACAACTTTTGCATTCCAATCTGCGACTTATGAATCAAATTTATACCTAATTAATGGGCAAGCGGGTCTTGATTCTGATTTCTAGTTACTCACTTCTCACCTTCCTCGTCTCTTGCAGGTCAACAAACAGTATTCGGCCACCGATCTGGAGGCTTTTATGAAGATCGCCGCCAACTGGCAGAGTTCCAATCACAACTATCTGGAGGGCGTCGACATAAAGACAGGTAAGTTAAGCTCTCTCTCTCTCTCTCTATAGAGGCATTCTAAGTTTTTAGAAATATTTGCAGAAATGACACAGTACTTGAGCAGTCCATCCATGAACATGTACAAGAAGAGAGAACGCACCCAGAACTGGAACCACCAGGAGAAGAAATACCTGCTAGATCTGTGCCGCAAGGACATGAGGATCATCGAGAACAAGAGGCTAGATGCCGGCCTGACTGCTGTGAAGAACAAGGCCTGGAAGATCATCCACCAGAAGTTCTCCAATCAATTTGGCACCGATCGCACCTGCAATCGCCTCAAGGAACAGTGGCGTCGTATGAAAGGTAGGTTTCCCTTTCCGGCAATGAAAAATGATTAGCTAACAATCCTGCTTATCCTTCAGCCTGCACTCGCAATGAGATCTTGGACTACAACAACCGCTTGGCCAGGTTCGGAGCCGAGGTGGCTGACCGCAAGAAGCCTTCTCCTTTCACCTTCGAGGTGTGGGACTTCATGCAGGAGGCAAAGAAGGCTTGCAAATCGGAGGCCCTGGACGGCATTGACTACTCCAAGATTCCCTTGGCCTTGGAAGAGGGTTTTGAGTACCGCGAGGACTACAAATTCAATTCCGAAGAGCACGACATGGATGAGTAAGTTGATTGGCCACCGGAGTCTCGAATATATATTTATTGGGAATTCTTTACTTAAGCAGCAGCCGCACACCGCCGCAGGATCTGTGCGATGTGGACATCAAGGAGGAGGAGAACAACGAGACCTTCAACGAGACCTTCAACAATCAGTATCTTAACCAGAGCGATTTGCCTGGCAGTGGCGGGCGTCTGAGTGTGTCGCCGAATCACAGCATCAGTCGCAATGGGATCCATGAGCCGGAGAGTCCTGCCCTAGCTTCCGGAGCAGGTGGCCCAGACACGAGCGCTGCCTTTATGCCCGGTGGAGCAGACATGTCCGGTTTCCAGCCCAACTTTAGCATGAACAACATATCCGCCACCCTGGAGGCCCTGAATGCCCTTCGAACTGGCCAGTTCCCCAGTGCAGCAGCAGCGGCAGCGGCCGCCATCCAACAGCATCAGGCCCAGACCCAGGTAGCCATGCATCACCAGCAAAATAACAATAACAACGAGGAGGACGAGGACGGCATGAAACCAGTGGCCAAGAGGCAGCGCACCAGCAGCGGCAGCGTGTTGGGCAGCGATGACCAGCCGACAGCCTTGTCCACCTCGGTGCCAGCTTCCTCCGAATGCCAGGCCTTGGAGCGGTCGGGCAGCAGCATCAGCAATGGAGTACCCATCGCAGGAACAGCATCCATCTCCAATGGCAACAGCAGCACCACTAACAACAACTTTGAGCTGCGCATGTTCATGGAGATGCAGAGCAAAGAGCACATGATGCGCATGAAGATCCTGGAGGTGCAGTTGCAGGCGGCCAAGCACAGTCGCGATCTGGCGGAGATCAACAAGACACTGGCGCTGCAGAAGCTGCAGGAGCTGGCCAGCAAGCGACTGCCCAGTTAGGAGGCAGTGCCGCAGAAGGAGCAGCAGCAGCCCATCGCCGTTTCATGTTACATTAGTTTATAGAATATAGAAAACCCATCTCCGCGGTCACGTTCGCAGGCAGAGAGCGTGCCTGGGCGGGCGATCGGCTAGAGTTAGCCTTAGAGTTAGACTTAAGTTGAAAGCAGGATCCACAGCTACACATCCACACCGACAAACAGAGAGACATTCCTGGCATTGTTGATCAGTATTTGAAAGCTAGAAGCGAATCCCCTCCCACGTCACATAGAACCCAAGCGAGGATCAGGAGGCGCTCGGAAGTATGCCATAATCTTATGATGAATCGCCTACCTCACAAGCACACACACACGTACACACACAGATACACTCTCTTCTGGCTTAACCAGCACTTGACCAAGTCAAGTCAAGTTTAGTTAGTTCGTAGTTTTAGTTCGTATGGAACCACTCTCTCCAAGTTGCTCAACTACCACAAATGTATTGTACTTACGTTCTTGACTCAGTTCACGTTCTGCTACCACCACTAACGATTCAAAACCAATATCAAAAGCACAAATGAATATTAGTTTCATAGTCCTAGGAGAAGAAGAACTCTTATGTTTTATGTGTAAATGCATTACGATCGGCAGTCGTCTCTGATTTTAATTCTTACTCGTACTTGTATTTATTTTTATCTTTGTATAGACTATGTTGATATATATACGACCCCTATATATGTTTGTTTCAATGCCATATTAAATGAAAGTTCTTTTTAATATCTTATTTTCCATTTGCGCTGCAAAACAAATTGTTACCATATATGATATATGTACCGTACGTATAAGCAGGCCCCCACTACCGAATGGGTAGGCCTGATTCGGGCCACGGACTGGGCTTCAGTTGTCGCAGAAGGCTTCTTTGTAAAGCGTGTAAATGAAGATACAAATTATTTTAAATAAAATACAAAAGAAATAAACCCCAATTGTCTATGTTTCTGCCACACTTTATTTAGTTTTCTCCATGGTTCTTATGACTGCTTCTCCGAAGGCTTGGACTTTTCCAACGACTTTATCTGCTTGTCCACCTTGATGATCTCCGTCGTGACTTCCTTCTTCTGGCTGAGAATCTTCTCTCGCAAGGACTTTAGCTGTTCTCTTTGCTGGTAAGATATAGGCTATAGTTATGATTATTGGTATTTTACGGCTACAAACCAGTTTTAGGAAGTGGATATTCTCATCCGCTCTGGCCCTCTCAAATAAATTCTTGGAAATGTTCCTAGAAAGAGTTTCGAATTGATTTTACTTAGAATAAAAGTTTTAACTTACTTATTGGATTGCCCAAACTGACACATCCGCGGTCGTAGCAGTTGCATTATCTTCTCGACGACCTTCAGCATTGAACTGATTCTACCTCAAGGTATGGCAATGATTGGATATAAAAGTGTTCACCAAAATTTAGAATTTACTAGACAAAAATTTTAAATAGTTCAAGACAGAGGGTAGGTTGTGACAAACTTAAAACCGATAGCCTGCTTTTCTCAGAGAATTCACTCTGCTTCTTTTTCGAGAGACTTTTTGAATCTCTTCAGCATTTCCTTGAGCTCTTTCAAGTCGTTCTTAAGCTTCTCTCTGTTCTTCTGGGACTTGCGGCTTGTCTGTTTTTCCATTTTCTTGATGTCTTCTTCTAGTTTCTGAATATCAGCGAAGATTTGCTTGATTCTGTTCTTTTTCAGCTTCAAGAATTGCTCGTTGCCCTAAGGATTACTATTACTACTATTGTCATTACCAATATCTTTGGATACTTGCAAGTTTCAGGAAATAGTTGAATTCATCGCCTTTGCCCTTGTCGTGGAATTTGTCGGCAATTTGCCGCCTGTTGGTTTTTAAAAATAATTATAAAAATTTCATAAATTTAAATGCAGAAACTTACTTAAAATTTAGTCTATAAACTATATTGCCCCTCATTAAAGCCAAGTTCTTCCGCAACTTTAGACTGTTAATATATTAATATATGATAATGCATATACACACAGAACTACTTACTTTGCAGATTCTTGAGCCAGGACACAAGTTGGCAACAGTCGGATGCATTTCGCGGAACTCAAAACTCGCGCTGTGGCGAACATAGTTTTTTATCGTTGGTGTACCTAACAATCTGTGCGGCAGAAACACAGAAATTTATCCTAAAGTATTGACAGGCAAATAAAAGGCTGGATTTTTGAAAAAACAAAAGGCAGAGGTCTGTTTCTCGAGGTTTCCAGAAGTTAGGAACAGTGATTAAACCTATAGAATTTGACCTGATTTAGGCGATTATAACTGCTTAACTTTTTCAAAATTATATTTTGATAAAAGCAAATGTATTCCCCGCTTTCCTTTCCCCGCATATACTCCCATGTTACGTAATGTTTTTATTAGTAAACAAATCTCAGATGTTTACGCTTTCAGCCGGCTCCCTCTGGTTGATAAGAAAATTTAAATCTCGATTCTGCTGTTACAAATCTTTTAATGTTTTATTGTTATCGTTTAAGCGTACATGGTATTGGATGGTTTGCCGACCGGTGAGTCGTAGATAATTGGTCGTTGCGCTGGGCCTAGATTTCTGAAGGGATTGCCGGATCCATAACTAGATCCAGAACCAGGGCCAGTGTGACGAGATGGCAAGGCCACTGTGGAAGTGGGCAGGCAGGAGAGAAGACCCAAGAATAGGAGGCAGCACAGGGCAAACAGCTTCATGGTTGGCAATCTGAAAAGTTTCTGAATGCCAAGCTCCGGCGCAATGAGAGCTTTTATACCCCTACTATTGCCCCTGGGATTGGGAAGCACCCGAGGGGATTCCGCTATTCGCTGAAATCACCGACTTTGGGTGATTTCTTATCGCTCGCCTGGGCAACGTTCGTCGCAGCAACACCACGTGCCTGTTTCTCCCTCTCCCTTTTGTCCAGTTCGGAATTCACTTTCACATCAAACTCCATGCCTCTTATGCAGCGCGTCAGATCGGTAAGGCTGCCCTCAATTCGTTTCTGCTGGATGGAAAGCTCTTGGAATCGCATATCCAATATTCCACGTTCCTGTTTTTACGTAGTTTTAGTTTTGTAATCGTTATTGATAAACTTGACTTACAGTCCACAGATCCTCCAGTTTGAGCGGTTTTTCTATATGACCTTGATCGGGCAAGACTACCAGATAGGTCCTATTATATGGGAATATTAAGGATAGCATTAATATCGTTACCTTGGGTAGACTTACCTGATGGTGCGAGCTTTGAAATGGCTCAAAATAGAACGGATCAGTGGACTAATGTGCATTTTTATAATCACGTAACCTGCTAATTTTGATTATTTCTAAAATTTTGATAGTATTTTCAGAGTATGATTTTTTTTTAGAAATTTTAAACTGTCTTATAAGGCAGTGTGTCGATCGCAAACTCATTTCAATCTTAGCCGAAAAGTATGCTATACACAACTGCTGGCCAACAGATGGCGCATTGGTAACAAATGTCAAATTCTTGTAGAGTTGGGAAACATTAAGACTTTATTACTTTTTACTATTTATTCATTCTTAATTTACGGAGGGCACTTTTGAGTTCTTTAAGGGCCACCATAAGTTCTCCTATCGCAGCCTGGGCTTCAGCTGACTTGGTTTTTTCAAGGGCTTTTATTTGCATTTCCAGGGACTCGATTTGTGCAGTTAGCTCCATGATCTTGGCCTCCTTTCCCTTGTTGACTTGCAAAAGTTTCTTGGGGGTAGGTAAATATAGATAAGATTAAGAAATCATACTTCCTCTGAAATACATACAACATGGTAAGCGTCTATACCGCCACTACCCTTGCCACCTTTGTCCGAAAAGTCACTGAACAGTCTGCTTTTGCTGTAACGATTTTGAGTTAGAAAATAAACTTAAAGAGCCGAAAAAACCTACTTCAACCCTTTCATAAACCAGACATCTTTTGATTTTAATAAAGTCAAAACCTTATAAGCCCCCCGGAACATGTTTCCAACTCTGCAAGAAATTTGTAAATAATTTATGGCTTTTTTAAAAAAGTTTTTCAGGGATAACTTGATTTTTCACTAGTATAAAGGTATGAAAGGGTGTCTCACATATTTCTTAGCTATTTAGTAAAGAAAGTGAATAAGTTATGATAAATGATTAGACAGAATATCTGTTACCCTAATCTGTTGCCTTTATATTTAGTTCCTTGTTTTATTTATTAAATATATATTTTACGTTTTCCAAAAACAAAGATCAAAGTAAGCCTTACCTAGCTCGTTACAAGTCTATACTTTACCACTTATATACACTACATCTGTAGAATCAAACTTGTTTTTTAAATCATCTGTCAAACACAACGATTACTGCCAATTCACGATGATTTGGGACTTCTTTACTTTTATACGCGGACTCAGCGAGTTTGGCGCCACCGCCGTGCTGATGATCGTTGGTTGCATGGGAGAATCGATGAATCAAGGTGGCGAGAACAATTCTTTGGTGGCCAGGTGATATATATACCATATAGTGTAAAGATCAGATATAAAAAGCCTTGAATAGCGTTCACTACGGCCTGACTGTGATGCTGGTAATGCACATCTTTGGCATCGTATCCGGGGCCCATGCAAATCCCAGCATTTCGATAGCCTGCTATTTCATGGGCTACATCGCCTCGGAGATGATGGTGATGTATGTGGCTTGCCAAATGGCTGGCGGATTGGCTGGCTACTACCTGCTGCTGCAACTCCTGCCTAAGGACGTGGTGGACAACAGCAAGCCTGCAGTTTGCATGTTGGAACCGATGGACAGTCTCTCCACCATCCAGATTGTGGCCATCGAGTGCCTGTTGACAGCGGTCTTTGTGCTCGGATGGTGTGCTCTGTGGGATGTGCGAAACGGAAGATATCTGGACTCGGTGACCATTCGAATGGGTCTCCTGGTGACCACTTGTTGCCTGGCAGGGGTCAGTGTACACCTCGGGCTTAATTTTATAAATAATTTAAATCGTTGTCCTCTTTTAAGGCCAAATTAACAGGAGCATCGATGAATCCGGTCAGGACCCTTGTGCCCGCCATCTTTCAGGGCAACCCCGACTCTGTGGTGATGCAGCTAACTGGCCAGATCTTGGCCGGCGTCATGGTGCCCTTTGTCTGGACTAATGCGTACACGCCGCACTATAAGCCTTTGGAGATCCCAATTTGCCGTGGCCAAAACTAGGGCTCTAAAAAGCGACAATAAACGTAAGCTCGGCATTTGTGGCTACTGTGTGTTGGTTTATTTGATCAAGTGAATGGGCAATTAAATATTAACGATAAGCATTCCGCGGTGGCATGGAAGTAATCTCGCCCAGATAAGCATAGCATTTACATTAGATTATTTATATAGTTGTCGGCAGCCGTAAGATTTAATTTAAGGTATTTATTTGTACGCTTCGCAACTTAAAACTAAACCGCCTTCTCAACTCACACAAACTTAAACGATAACTTGTCTTAGGGGCCCTAAATCATTCCTAGGCGAGTTCCGCCTCCGATGTTCGCTTGGTTGACATTGTCGTCTCATCCACCGCCTCCGGGTCGTCCACCTCCCGCCGGAAGACGTACTTGTAGGTCACCGAAGTGACTAGCGCTCCGGCCATGGGGCCCACCCAGTAGATCCAATGGTTGTCCCACACTCCATTCCAAATGGCCGGAGCGAAAGATCGGGCCGGATTCATGCTGGCCCCAGTCAGTTGGCCCTGTAAACGGATTTGAAGGGTATATAGATAAGGTGGAAAAATCTTATAAGAACTTTCTATTTTAATAACTAAATCACTTTGACTTTCTTAATCATCGTTCGCTTCCCCTTGCCAGCTATGAGATATAGATTTGATTTTAGCTAATCTTGAAAATACATTTAAACTGATAATGGCCAAACTTGATATAGGGCTATCATCCATAACAAGAATCTTAAGTGCATTGGTCAGGAATTTCCAGAATCGACTGCGTTAAAGTTTTTTACATTTTATGATCAATTTAAAGAGATACCAAAGACTAAAGTAACTAATTATCAAAACAAACCAACTTACCGCTGTCAGGGACAGGCAGGAGATGGCCAGGCCAAAGCGCACTGGCACTGAATCCTGTTTCGTGGCATTACGGGGATCCCACACGCCACAGCAAATGGAGATGAGAACGCAGGTGATCAGGAACTCAATGGCCACGCCCTGCCAACTGGTCAAGGTGCTATTCAGCGACGTTAGGCACACTCCATTGGGGGTATCCGTGCTGAAGATGGCATTCTCTGGGAGCACAGCCTTCAGCAGACCATAGCCAATAAAGGCACCCACCATCTGGGCCACGAAGTAGGCCAGAGCCATGGGAAGCGAGATCATGTTGTAGATGTAGGTGGCCAGGGTGACGGCGGGATTCAAATGGGCTCCACACACGGCCCCAAAGCACTGGATGCAGATCAGCACCACGAATCCGAAGTTCAAGGAGCTCTGGAAGTTGGAGTTGCTGATGACGGAGTTGCCCACACAGCCCATGCAGCCCAGGAACATCAACATGGCTGTGGCAATCATTTCGGCAAGGACTGTGGAGATGTTGTCCAGCTGGCGACGTTGCAGCAGCCAGCAGGTTGAACGGCTGAAGGATAGAAAGAGGATCTTGTTAGAGTTTCGATGTTCTAAAGAGATAATCTAAGAAATCTCTCATTGATAAGAAGTTATAAAAATATTAGACACTAGCTAAATATTTTTGTCACAAACTTAAGCACTTTAACTCCTAATATTTCACATTTTAGTTTTCAGTTTACAAGTTCATCAGCTTGGGGAATCACCTTGTCGTTATAGCCATAATTTCCGTGCGTCGAGACGAGCGATTAATCCAAACGGGGACGTGGTTCAAAGTGGACTGAAGTGCACTCCAAGTACTCAATGGCTGCGAATCGCATACTATATCGCCGGCTCTTAATCGCTGGCAAACTCGTCTAATCGCCAGCGGTTGGTTATCACAGAGCACTCCTATATACTAGTGTTTACCTAAGTATTGCCGAACATTTCGTTGGTGTGTTCCATAAACTCAAGTGCGTGTGACCACTTTCCTGATGTTGTCTAGTCCGAGTCGGAGACAATCCTAAGTTTAATAAGTGTATTTGCTGGCCTGATAAGTCAGCTGCTATAAACAACGCCATCGATATGATTTTGGTCTGACGTCGGCTGTAAGTGGCTTACTGGTTCTTGTCAGTGGGAGTTATCTTGGGAACTTTTCAAAAATCATTCATTCGCAGTTCGTTATCAAACTCAGAGTATTCGAAAGGGGTTTCTTATCAGCCAGCTACGATTTATAAATATTCCTTCAGGCTTAGTGGTTCTTAATCTGAGTTATTTGCTTGTGTGTGTGCGATTGGTTTACAAGCAAATACGAGCCCCCAAAAATGCCAATAACAGCTCATCCCAAATGTATGCTATCAAAACTATTACTAATACTCAATTTTCAGATTTCTTTAATAAAATCTTATAGATAAACCCTCTTAATCAGAGAGTGAGACTATATATTGTGTTTGTTGGTTGGATACTTTAAAATATATATTAATTTTAAGTCCCAAAGTAGATAAACCAGACCTGCTGGAAAACATTTCTTCTTGAAAACATAAACTTATGTAACTTTCTATTTTATTTCATATTTAATATGAATACATAATTAAAACTTAATTATTTCGTTAAGATTCGATAAGTAGATTAAGAGTACACGTACAGTAACCTATTGGACTACAATCTCCCCGATCATCCGTATCTTGGCATCGGAACTCCTCAGCTCGATGACTTCATCGCCCTTGAAGGCCATTTTGTAGATCAGCGAGGTCACCGCCCCTGCCACCAAAGGACCCACCCAGTAGATCCAGTGATGAGCCCAGGAGTTGTTCCAAACAGCGGGACCCAAAGACCTCGTCGGATTCATGCTGGCTCCCGTGAAGAGACCCTAAAAGAAGAATTTCCCATACAGAAAAAGTTTCCAAGTACCAATGATAGAGCTACCAACCGCTGTGAGGATCAGACAGGAAACTGTTAGACCAAATCTCACTGCCACCGAGTCCTGGAACTTGACATTCCGAGGATCCCACACCGAACAGGCCACCATTACCAGGCAGCAGGTGATGAGGAACTCGATGAACACTCCCTGGAGAACACTGATTTCAGGGGCCAAAACAGTTACACAAACACCCGCTGGGTTGTCCACTCCCTTGATAGAACTCTCCGGCAGAACGGCCACCAACAGACCATAGCCGATCAAGGCTCCGGCAGCCTGGGCCACAAAGTAGGCGATGGCTTTCATCCAACCGATCACGCCGTAGAGCCAGGCGGCCAGGGTGATGGCAGGATTCAAGTGGGCACCGGAAACGGAACCGAAACACTGGATGGCTATGAGGATGGCCAGGCCGAAGGTGAGGCCGCTGCGGAAGTGCGAGTTCTGGAAGACGGGAGTCTCCACGCAGCCCATGCAGGCCACGAAAACGAAGACGCCCGTGGCCACAAGTTCGCCGAAAAAGGAGGCGATGGCACTTCTTTGGTGTCCTTCCAGGCGCCACCTGGCGGAAGGATTGGACTCCTGGAACTTTTGCTTCTGCTGCGACATGCTGACTGAACACTACTGCCGAAATAATGGGCGGCCGGCCAAGTGACCCACCACTTACGTACTCCACATTTACGGCAATCAATCAATATCAATTATAAAACCATAATGCTAATTATCGAGCGCAGATTTGGGAGCACGGAGCAGCCCCCGCCCACCCATTTAGGATAGATCAATTCATCAAGGCGCATTTCTGGGGGCTTTGCTCAGCCGTAATTATCGGCCTGATAAGCGCCACTGCCATTTCGCCCGATTTGCGCTCAATCTTATCTCATTAAGATCTTTATCGGCCTGCTAACGGGGCGCCAAGCCTTGGCCAATACTTCTTGTGCCAGCCCCGGTCTGGATCGTTGGAACAAGGCCAATAAACCCGGTCTATAGCAGTCTATCGTATATAGTATAGAAGTGTATAGCTCTGAGGTAAGCCTGCATGATATTCAGGAATTTGGGTGAGAAGAAGATCCAGCATTAGCATATCACACATAGTCCATAGTCTAACTCAACCTTTAACTAGCATAGTCCACAGTCCAGTTTTAGCTACATAACAATAGCTGATATTAATTAGTTTTCCGTGTCAAGGAACTACTGGTGGGTGGAGCTAGTTCGCTGTCTGCTGATAAGCTTCAGCTAAGTGCAGTTTGATTGGTCGATTTGCAGGTACTTAAAATATTTAAAAAACGTATGACCAAATTCCCAATGTCTTGGTATTTTCCCAAGCACTTTTTCCAAAGAAAACCGTCTCAGCTAAGATCTAAGGTGACTTAGGGTCAATCAAGGCAAAGTCTTAATTGTTTTAGGTAAGTATTTCCCAGACAAAGTGGATTTTGGTGATTGATACGTCAAAATTCCTGAACACTTTTATGCATACTTGAAAGTTTCCTTTTAGTAAAAAGTTTTCCTCTCTTAAATTTTCTTAAAAAGTAAATCAATTCCTGAACTTTTATGTTGGAAGTGGTTCTACTTTACTATTTCTGATATTATTACATCAAGAAATCATTTTCATAAACTAATGTTGTTAGCTTAACCAGCTTTAAAAACAAAACACTTTCATTATCTTCAAAGTATCCATGAGTAGTAAGTATGAGAGCAAGAGATCATAAGCCAAAAGGCTATTGATCTAAGGCTATGTAATGTTGCCTAGAAGGCCGCCACTTTTCTCTCCAAAATTGATGAACATTTTAATGTAAAACCTGCATGGGGACGGACTTCCAAAATCACTTCCCCAGCAGTCATATAATTTCATATAAAAAATCTTAAGATTTCACATCTCTTAAGACAGATATTCTTGGCAGGCTAAAAAGAAAACAACTTAACTCTTTCATTAGAAATAGATTAAAAATCTCGATGTTCTTTATTACTGAAGGCAATTGGTGTGATCATCAAGTGGTTTATGGTTTCAAAAACACAATTTATCGCTTTCGAAACGTTCGAGCACTTTGGGAAAACACTTTTGAATTAGCGTACAATGAATGCATTAATATGAAATTCGGCGTCTTAGATTAGAAGCTAGAAATTAGAAATTAGTTAAGGCTTTCACTACAGCAATGTCTTTGGCATCTACGACAGCTGGACGTCCTCCAACTGGCGCAGCTTCTCGTTGGAGGTGATCTCCGCCTCCACCACCTCGCGGCGGAAGACGACCTTGTAGGCGTAGGCGGTGATGGCGGAAGCGCTCAGCGGGGCCAGCCAGTAGATCCAGTTGTCCTCGAAGTGTTTGTTCCACAGGGCGGGGGCGAAGGACCTGGCCGGGTTCATGCTGGCACCAGTGAAGGGTCCCTAAAAAGCCAATGGGGAAGGTAATTAAGGTCATTCAGGTAATACTTAAGATTAAGATAATATAGAAGATTAAACTTACGGCAGCACAGGCAAGACAGGCGATGGCCAGGCCGAAGCGGATGCCCACGGAGTCGTGGAACTTGGAGTTGCGGGGATCCCAGACGCCGCAGCAGACGATGACCAGAATGGAGGTGATGACGAACTCAATGCCGAAGGCCTGGCTGGCGGACACGGTGGCGTGGGGCAAGGTCACGCAGAGGCCGGCGCCCACGGAAAGGGTGGCAGAGGGCAGCAGAACCATCAGCAGGCCATAGCCGATGAAGGCGCCCAACAGCTGGGCCGCAACGTAGGCGAAGGCCATGCGCAGGGAGACCATCTCGTAGATGTAGGCGGCAACAGTGACGGCGGGATTGAGATGAGCTCCGGATACACAGCCGAAGCACTGGATGGCAATGAGGACGGCGAAGCCGAAGTTCAGCACAATCTGGAGATGGTTGTTGGGGAAGAGGTCCGTCTTGACGCAGCCCATGCAGCCCAGGAAGACCAGGATGCCGGTGCCGATGAGCTCGCCCAGGAAGGCGGAGATTTTGTCCAGCGTCGATCCCTTCATTTTGAATACTTTACAGCAACTGAAAGGGTCACAAAAACGCTTGAAAAGTGTCTCACCAAAAAGCTAGCCACCCCTTTCCTCTCTCTTTCACCCTTTCTAGCTCTCTCTCTCTCTGTCTTTAGCAGGCCTGCTTAAGAACTTCATCAATCATATCCTATCTATTAACCCATAATATCCTATCGATTTCGTAAGCTTTTCATTTCGAATTTAATCCCTCCGCCGCACGCTCGAAATTAACTTTGCATTTTCTTTACAAAACCTTTTCGATTGTTCTCCTTCTGGAATGATATCTGAGGGATGTTCCACCCCTTGGGGATCAACCCCCTGCGACGTTGGCATTGGCATGTCATCGATTTTCCAAACTCCCTGGCCAAAATGAAACTTTTCCGATCCGAAAAGCGTTCCCAGCTGTGGGAAAGTCCCAGTGCGACTAAAACGCTAGATTAACTTGGACTTGGGCTGAACTCTAATTAGTACAGCTGTAGCTCTTGTTCGGCTGTGAACAGAGTTCATAGATAAATTTCCGAAAAAAAAGAACGAAATCAAAATCAGTTCATGGCCATAAAACAATAAGCAGGCCTTGTCACTCTTATCACTTGAGGGCCACTCGAAGCCAATTGGCTTTCAAAGTACAACGCATTAATCTCTTTATAACGACTATAAAATCCATCTCAATTTTGATACACTTTCTCAGGAAGATTTTTCGAAATATTTACCGACTCTCGAGGCTCATTTTGACACTTTTCCAGTTTGTATTTTAAATCTCAGAAAATATCCCACTATTTATTTAATATTTTTGCGAGTGAAAATTCGCAAAGCGACGGCGGGACTGTCAATGTCAATCTGAGGCGTTGGAGTAGCCATAGTCAAATATTTATATCTGTGTCTATATAATATTGCGTAAATCAAAAGCCCATTTTTAGCCGCTGTGCTGCGAGAGAGTCAGATACAGATACATATACGCCCCGCAAAGATCTCGAAATCAGCAAATCCTACTGGCGGAGCATAAAAAAGTCAAGTGTCCAGAATTTATGAGCATCTTAAACGCTGCTCATTCGCCGCCTCTGCTCTTGCCCGCTCTCTCATCTACTCTTGCTGTGTGGTATTGCATTATCTCTGGAGCGATGCTCTCTCTCGCTTCCACTTGCTTTGTCTCCGGGCTCATAATATTATTAATTATAAGTGAGAAATTAGGAGAATAAACTGAATATTAACACTTGCCATGGAGGTTAGCCGATTGCCCTCTATTAAATGTTAAGGAAATTAGTAGGTTTTAGTGGTAAGGAAAGAGGGAAGATTAAAAATGAAATTAATAAATTTCATTCACAGAAATCTAAGGGATAACTTAAAAAGAATTTTACTTGATGAGAAACTCTTTCTTTGGATATATCTTAACTAAAGTTGTAACCTTTAAACGGAATCTAAACTCATGACTATGAGACAGCGCCATCTATGAACCTTCTAATGTACCTTCTTTATAAATATAGTAATCACAGTAAGATCTGGATTATCTTACCCCTTAGATGCAGACATTGTTTCAATAAGAGAAAACTTTCTCAGATTATAAATACTATTAAATCCTTCTAAGCATGATAACAATGCCTAAATATTCCCATGCTTGATCAGTAAATACTACCTACCAGCAACTAGTAACTAATTAATGACAAGCTCTGACCAAAACACATACTTAAAGCTCAAAATGAAACCCTAATTGATCAGGGAAATGCCATATAATTATCCACTGTGCAGAACAGGGGGCAGTTGGGTGGGCGAATAGCTGTTATGTTATGACTTTGTGCGAATTCAAATGCGAATGCGTGACGCTGTGGGGCAATTGAAGCTGGCCAGTCCAGATTGATAAGACTATCAATTACCACGGTCGACTCCTATCAATTGCAATTGCTGCAATTGGCGATGCGAGGCATTGCGTGAATCGGAGTACGGAGTACGCAATGTGGCAAACAAAAACAAATCACGGCGAATCTCGGCTCGGCTGTCGATCAAATTGCACGCAATTTGCGTTATTAAATGTCTCAATCACAATTGGAGCGGCAGCTGGCAATAAATACTTTAAAAATAGATGTTTTGAAGGCCCCGCTGTTGCATAACCATCCAAGCGATAACCCAGGTGATTTGGAGTGACCTTTCGAGATCTTTTCTGTGACCCTCACTGACCTCGCCCAATAACTTTCCAAATAGAAAACATTTAACATTTGCAATGGAATCAGCAGAGAAAATAGCTTGGGCAGAACATTTTGGCCCTTGGCCAAGAGGCAAATGTTTGGCCAACTCATTGACAGTTGGCCGAAAGAGAGCCCCACGTTTTGGCAGAAAACCGAAACGGAAAGAGGGCAAAGTCAAAACAATAAACACGCGATGGATCGAGAGATTAAAAATAAATCACAGCGCATGCTAATCATTTAATTACCACCTGCGCTTTTTTCATTAATGCGAGTATTTTCCATGCCCAGAAGGATCACGTATCTTCCATGGGATCGCTGCATGGGCCACGACTTCCAATGGCCAGGGGGCTCTAATTGGCCATAAACCGCATTATAATTATTATAATCCATTTTCATTGTTTGTCTAACTCAAGGAACGTGACGGGGAGGTTCTACACTTAAGAAACTAAGTGCTAATGTTAAATCTGTCATGGAAGTTCTGTTAATTAGCAGAGGGGTGTGATAAGAATGGAGACTCCTCGCAGCTTTCTGATAAGCTTTTCCCGAGAGGATTTCAAGCTTTTCCAGAGCTTCGATCAGTTAGCTTTGCCTAAGAGCTTCCAGCAGCAGAGCTTCCTTATCACTGAGCAGTTATTAAAACTTAATTATGACTAACTAAGTTGGCAGCTATAAACCTCTCGCTTCTTGCTGGCTGTGGCTGGCTCATTGTAAAAAACTTGTTAACTTGAAGAACCGTTAATCAATCGCTGCCGATAAGCCTCGCCCGGTATTTGCCGATGGTTGGAGCTGCTTAAGAAGTGATTTTTAGTTTGTGGGCCCTAAAACCGCTGGCCATAAACCATAAACCAGAACCACTGTCAGCCAACTGATAAAGCCGATAAGGGGCTGAGTGATGGTGTATTGGGATTGGCACTGTCTGCCGGCATATTATCACAGGCTTAATTTGGCCATAATTGGGCCAACTCAAATCGGATTTAACCGTCAGACTTTTGACATCGCCCCGCATTTATGGGTCTTCCAAAGTCCGATAATGATCGCATTCGGACTTATTGAAGAAAAACCATTTTTTTATCGCATTCCGATTGCCAGCTGGATCGCAATTGAAGCTCATTATGGTGCCACGGACGGAAGCCTTAGTTTCCCCATTGATCTTGATTCGCCTCTTGAACAGCCTCTTCCTCACCCAGGTCTGCCTCTTATCTTTCCGGCTTATCAGGCCGTAATGAGTATAATGGGAATAATGGAAACTGTTGACGTTTAGATTGCACAACAGGTTGATGGCATCGCTACCACGACGGGCTTCTGGCCAAGTTATTTACGGCTGTAAACAGGCGGGGCAATTAAGAGCTGGCCAAAAAGAAAGCAGAGGCGCCTAGAGGCCACGCTAGTCAGGTGCGCAGACAGCTGAAGGTTTCGCGGGTAAAGTTAGGGGCTGCGTCTTATCAGTGCGCCACGAGGTTGGCCCACTCGAGAGCTGATTGATTGCTCATATTATTCGTGAAAAGCTTTGTAATTATTTAACTGACAATTTGTTAATTTCTAACTACTAACTCTTAGTTAGGGAACTGATAGCACTCGGCATTGACCTAGGCTAAGAATTTCTTCGGGCCTCCAAAGAAGGCTGGTCGGTCGTAAATTTATGGTGCGATGTGGCCTCTAATCAAGAAGCCAGCCCCTGCTATTTATACCCACCTCTATATGGTCGACTTTATATGCAGTCCATCTGATAATCCAAAGTGTGCAAGGCGATAAGAAGGGACTATATACTATGCTATATACTCTGTACTATTCAGAATTAAGCTATGCATTATGCAACAGCCAGCGGCCAAGTCTTGAATTGGAACTAAACTTTGCTCAATGAGAGCCGGCTGAGACCTAATTGATAACCCTACGGCAGAGCTCCTAGCACCTTATCAAGTGGCAGAGCAACTAACTAATCGCATTTCCGAGTGGTTACGGTTTGCCAAGCACAAATATGATGGCGTGGGATTGAGTGACATCAACCAACGGTGAAATATCACAGGGCCACAGCATAGAACTGGATTATATTCCGATTTAATTAGCATATACGAGTATGGGGAGAAATGCCATTTTGGACACTTGACTGGACGAATTTCAACCTGGGGGATTGTTCCGCGTCTAACAGGTTTCTCGATCGCATGATGACGTCTCAATTGGGCTAAATCAAAATCAGTTTATTGGACTCACTAAGTTATCGATGATGTATGGCATGCGATTCGCCGTTTGATTGATTTATCAAACTTGATTAGCACTAATTATCGGGTAACTCGGAAACTCGTGAGCTCCCCCCAAAAAACGTAATCAAAAGCATGTGTCAACTTATATAAAATCTGGATTTTGTTAGACATAGATTAGTGTTGGGCATAGATTTATGATGCCACGAACAAATATGAAAAATCCTTAAGTCTGACCTAAGTTTGAGTAATGATTTTTGAAGTCAGAACTGGAGATTTCCTCAAATATTAAAACTTTTTGATATCACCCACAACATAAGAAACTTCTGCTGCTGAGATTAAGCTAACAACTTTATCAGAAGCGTTGACCTTCGAGGCAGCCGAAAAGTACTTGTTTTGGTATGTTGGGGTCTCACATTTCAAGTTGTCGAAGTGCGCAGATAAAACTCCAGGCGAGAACGGCTTTTACGAACAGCCACAGGCCACGTTGGAATTCGAGAGATATTTAAGAGATATATTTTGGAGTGGTCGCATAGCACATGAGCACTTAAAGTATCATAAAATGATCAATTTGGCGTGGGCACTATGCAAAATCGCCTGATCCGAGGCCCAGAAATTCCGTTTGTTTACTTATCAGGCCGCAGCTTTTTACTTTATAGAGTCGAGTGACCCCGCCAATCGACTTGCTATACTTATTTTTCAATGATAATTTTGATAAGAGTGCCACACCAGCCGACGTCTAATTAGTATACGGAACAACAACACTGAGCGTGGGCAAACATATATACATGGAAGTCTGTATATATAGTATAGCGAAAGGCTAAAGTAGAACATCGGGCCAATGTATGCGCACATAGAGTGGAAATGTTTCCAAAAAAAAAACCGAAAACAGAGAGAAGTCAAAACGGAAAACCAAAAAGCGTGGCACAGTTCTTTAAAAATAAACATTCTCCGGTAGAGTCGGTCGTTCGGCCCAAGGCGAGTGTTAAATGAATGTCAAACGGAGAGGAGAAGTAAACAGAAATTATGGAAAATATTAATATGCATCTAACTGAATTACAATTTGGCCTTATCTAATTACCCGGTCGCCGGTGGGGCGGTTGTGTAATCGTGGGATCGCTGGCAATTACCCTTCCGCGGACTGCATATCGTCAGGTGCAAATGCTAAATAATGCACATAATTACGAGTCAATAATGCAGGTAGTCGATAAACAACAATATTAATAAATGTGCAAGCCAAGTGTCTGCCTGTTTTCGATTGTTCTTCGCCTGTTTGATCACCGTTCAGTGGGACTCGGAGTGGGAGTGGGAACATTACTTTTATGGCTTTACGGCCGGCCGGGGCGATAAGTTCCCCCTCGCCTTTGCCACCGAAATGGAAAGTTGGCCAAGATAAGCCGAACTGAGTTAAATATTTGAATAAAATTAACATTTATAAGCCATTACACGCGTGCCAGCAGAAGTCGAAGGCAAAAACACACACTCACACTCTCGCAGATATGGAAATATTCCATCGACACTTCACCTCAACTTTATCACTCTTAATTCGTTTTCGCTTTACCCAGGAAGCAGAAGCAGTCCGAGAAAAATATTTAAAAATACGAGCCCGCCAATTTCGAAACGCGTTTTGCTAAAGGCATTGGCCGCTGCATGCCTTTTTATATCAAAAGTGATATCACCTCTCTCCTCACTTTTCTTTCGAAGGAAACTCAAAGACAAGTTTGGTAATTAATCAACGCACACTCTAAGACCACGGAGAGCCAAACTAACCTGCGTTTCGGTCGATCGTTTGTTTGCCAATGAGTGTAGATACCGCCTCAGGCGAAATGCCAGCGATCGTCTGCGTTTTGGCTGCGCTGTCGGCGTCGCAGCTGGACACCATGGCGTATTATTATGGCTGCTATCAAGCAGCGCAGTCGCTGCCGACCAGCAGCAAAAGGAAGCAGTGTCAAGCAGTGTGACAGCGCTGCCAGCTGCGAAAGTTCAGCTCTTATCGCTTCAGCTGCGCAGTCGACGTTTCGTTCTTACGCCAGTGATGCGAGCTTTTGATAGCGATAGCAAGTAACTTAATTCCCGTAAATATTAGCTTTGCTTTAAGCACCAGATGCGGTATCCAGTTGGCAAGCAGTGGAGTGAAAAGAGTGGCTTTAGTAGCGGGAAAACTGGTTTCTTTTTGTTTATTTAAGGCGAAGTTACTGAAATTTATTAACGAATCATAATAATGTATAAGCCATAGACAAACTGATTTATATTTAAAAGGAATATTATGACTGCTCAGCAGGATATTTTTTTCAGACTTTCAGAATTCACAATCAAAGGAAAGTGAAGTTAAAAACAAATAAGTCATTAAATATTGTTTTTAGCATTTTTTAAAAAAGTTAAGCTGAATGACAAAACTAAATATTCTTAAGAATTTGCTATCTTTCTTTATACAAAAAGAATATCATTATCAAACTCCAAGTCATAAACTTTGGGAGCATCCCTCGTTGCTTAATTTTAAACTTTGTCTCTTAGTTAACCAAACTAAATTTAGTACAAAATCCATGTTTACAGACACAATAGTCACGCTTGAGGCAACAATTACTATCCCTATCATTTTCATATTTCATCAGAGGGCAAGCCTTTGAGCTAACAATTAAATTGAAGTTTAAATATGAGAGTCATACTTATTTGCAAACTGGCAAATTTGTAGCAATCATGATGATTAAGATACTAACAGAAAAGCTAAACAGCCGAAAGAAGACACTTTTCACACCCTAACTAGGTGCTAATCAATTCGACTCCAACTATAAAAACACTTAACTTGGTCTTAAGTGGAGCTCGCTATGCGATAAGGCAAATCAAGGCAGATAGTTTAATGGTCGTAATTAAGAGCTGGCCATAAACTAAATCAGTGATGGCACGACCATCGGGTGATAATCGATTCGATTATGCATATAAAAGTGACTAAATTGTTTTGAAGTGGCGCGCCCTTTTGATAAGCCACATCAGGAGAGAACTAGAGAGAACTATGGTTACCGAGATAGGGATATATTGGTTTACACTCGTTTTATACTTTTTACACTTACCTTCAAGGTTGCGGTGATTGGAAAACTTACCCGAAAGATCCCCAGTTGATTTCCTATTTAGACTCACTTTAAAGATAACACTTATCACTTATCACTCACGGCTAGCACGTCACTTTCGAAGTCGGACGGCTTTATCGCGTTCGGATTTCCATGACGGATTTCCTTGTGGCCTTGACATTCATATCAACATGGACTTATGACGCGACTTGCACTCAATGATTTGCATAGACTATGATGCCACGGCGGAACATTTGAAGTTGGCTAATAAATTATAGACGCGATCGAAGGTAGAAGCAATTTAACGCGCTAGATTAATAAATAAACTCAATGAAACCGCCGCGGATCAAAGAGGTGACTAGAAGCGGATGGCTAGATCTGGCTCATAGATCTGCCATCGTAAAACTCCCCCTCAGGTGACACAGTCTTCGATCCACTTTGAGCTGCAAACTGTATACTATATCTACTATAAACTATGAGTTTATATTTCTGGTCGAAGCCAGACTCCCTTGATTTATGGACACATCACTTCTGTCTAGCAGAGCTCGTTATCCGAGTCGAGAGTCTGCCCGAACTGGTTGGACTGCCAGTAAAAAAATTCAAAATAAATAAACAAAACGGCGGCGTTTGTTGTCTCTTGAATTTGCAATTCAGTTCTTGATTCACTCGCTCTGTGTTACGAGAGCCAAAAATAAATTTCGGCTCTCTGTTTCGGTTTTTCTCGCCTTTGGTGAGCGGGGCCAAAAACACTTGTGCGCACGTGACGTATACGCAACGTGGCTCCGAAAGTGTGTCAGAAATTGATGGACGCAATGAATGTTGTAATATTAATTTGTCATTAAGCTACTTCGCACCTTTGGGGCGCCTTTTGTTTGGCACTATTAGCAGCCTCCTCGTCACCCATCTTGATCGGCCGGCCGGTAGCCGGAGACTGCTCTGGTTGCACTGGCATTCCTTGGCACTTTTACTCCTATTGTTGGGCTGATGAGGTCTTTCTCTTTTTGTGAAGCACTTGACGGAGCAGGCAGGCCGGCAGCTAATTTAATTTCCCGTTTGCAATGGTAATTTTCCTGAATCGGATTCCGTGCACAACTTCACTGCGTGTCGCGAATTCGGGCTCTTGACTCGCGGACGATGTATTTGTATCTGCGGAACGGGATTTCGTATCTGTATCTGTATCTGCAGGCAACACGGCGCATGTGAGTTTTGCTTTCGAGCAGCGATCCGATCGAACCACCGACTGACTGACTAAAACCGAAACTGAAACTGAATGGCTGAGAGTAAACGCTGTCGCCGTTTAACAGAAACCGCCAAGCGCCCATCAAAATCAAATATCGCAAAAAGGCATGCCATAAAAGCGAGGCAGCAGCAAAAACCGTAAGTGCCATTAGACACGATACCCAATCACATGGTGGGTATACTCTCTACGGGGTATATGGCTTGACTATGCGATGCGCGTCAATCTAGATAGTGCCGAGGGTCTGAACAACAACTCGAACTTCCTTTACCTGGGCAGTATAAGTGGAATTTTCCTTAACTTAAACTGAATGGCAAGGCATTGCTAGTGATTGGAATTTAAGTACTCTTATAGGTATTTAAATGAGGAACTAGAAGATTATTATTATAGGAAAAGTAACATAGAATTAGTTTGGAAATATTCTAAAGAACGCTTAAGATCATGCCATCAAAAGAAGCCTTCTGGTTATGTTCTTGTTATAGAGGTTCGACTGTTCAAGCCTTAAGTTCACGTTGCCAAGGGGGAGTTGGTGGCCAAAGCCCTTGTAAGGCCACCTTTCATATCCATCAAAAAGATGTCTGCGTGGTATCCGGTTAGTCGAGTACTAAAATTTTCCACAAGCTTTCGCGTTTTTTTGATTTTGTTGTTTGTTTTGATTGTACAGGTTTACGATGAACTATGGCGACAGAGGGTCATTCTCCTGATGATGAATTGATGTGATCTGTTTGGGTTTTTTGGTAACTCTTCTAATTGGTACCTGATTGATTTGGAAACTTAGAGAAATTACCTGCCATTGTTTCGCTCAGTGAACTTTAGTTTGGAGCTTATCTATATATATACTTGGATTCCTACAAAACCCTATATATCCATGCCATATCAATTCCGCATTGACGCAGAGATGGCTTTTATATTTGATTAGTTCTATTCGCGTGCGATATGTTTTAGGGCTCCGCTATTGGGGTTTCCTTTATATCCACTATATTGGAGGCTTGTTTTGATATCACTTATCGGAACCAGTTTATTGTGGGAGTATTGCTCGTCTAATAAAAGCAATTGATAAAGTAATGTACTGTGAACAGAGTACCAGACCACAGAAATGAGCTTACTGAATTTATGAATTCATAAACGTATTTTATTGGAGTATTCAATTGAGCTTCTGGTGTTATTACAAAGGGTTGAATTTGCCTATAAGAGTGTTTCGGTAGGTGTTGCATAGTTTTAGGGTTTATTAATAAAGCTTAAGAGTTCAGTGCCTACTTTTAGGCTGAGTAGTTCTAATAGAAGTATGGGCTCACATTGAACTTTATTTCGCAAGTAAGTTATAAGTTATAATCTATAATTATTTATGTATTTATTAATCCAAGGCCAACAATTAGTTAGTAACTATAATTTATTAGATATTTTTGACATAGACTAACAGCTTGTTAAAGTTTTCTCTTAACTTGTGGTAATAGTACCAAAAACAAACGCAGCTCAAAGTGTGCCTCTTTGTCGCCACCTAAAGCTTTTGAAGCTTTCGTTTGCATTTTCCAACCACTAGCTTTTTATGCCCTTGCCGAAAGTATCTCACTTTTCCTCATAAGGTTGTAACACAGTTGAAGATACATTTCCCCTTTACAAGTTTAAATCTTTTTCCTAAATAAAAAGATAAATTTGTATCATAATTTATAAAATTTTTAGGTTGACAATATATTTTTCTGAATAAGTAAAATTAAATGCTCACAAATATGTTAAATTATAAGCTTAAATATAAAAAACTGTGAGATAAAGATAAGTAAACTTTGAACATGAAGTTGGGTTAACAACTTGACCTATGCACTTAGATATATAGATATAGATATATAGATATCTATAACAGCTAATGTGATTCCTATGACGCACGCTTTACTAACTTATTCCAATACAACTGTTCACCCTTCGACTAATATATTTTCAGGAAAATAAATATTAGTATTGCCCACTCCTTTTCTATCAATTCCCAGCAGCGCCATGTGGACATTAACTTGACGTATTTAAGAGATCAAAAAATAACCGACTGGCACCGATTAACAGGAATTAACATGTATCGCTAAAGTCGCCCAAATATTGACACTCGTCCGAATGGTCGAAGCAGTGACGGAGATCGGATATATCCGGTCCAGCGATGGGGTGGAGAAAGACGAGCAGGAGGAGGAGCAGCGGGCTGGAGGCCCTGGAACTGGTTAATGTGACTACGTCCATATAGGTATAATCGATTTCACACTACTTTTTAATCACTACAAAACATTTATTGTTTGCCCGCAGCGAGAAAAGTCAAACAAAAAGCGGCGACGAATGGAAATAGGAATGGGAATGGAAAGGGTAAGGGAAGAGGGCAAGGGAAAAGGGGTCGAACGCTGAACAAATTGACTCGGCCACATAATTAGGCACTTGGCCATGTCCACAGCTTGTAGCATATAGCGTTTACCAGATATCCACATACGTATATATATCCCATCCGATCCCATGCAGTCGAAAGTATCTCACGCAGTGGGACAAAAGGTTTTTATTGTGCGTACCCGTTGACAGCTTCAATCGCCGGGGTTTGGCCTGGGCTTTCGGGGCTCTCTGGGTTTTCTTGGCCCTCTCGTCTCGTCGTTTGTTATATTTGTTATTTATTTTGCGGTTATAATACTTATGCACCGCTCTGGACGGAAAAATATTGGCAGCCATTCAGCGGGACAAAACAGCACGGCGTTTTTTACAGTTCTACAGTTCGAGCCGCGACCAGATGATAAATTAGCTTTGTACGTAAATTCAAAATGGAAAATCAGTATGTGAAAATATCCCCGTCTCGCATCTCGGGGGTCTCGACTCTCGAGTAATTGTGTAAATATCTTGTCGCTGCATGACAATACCAGACATCCCCATCACATCCCATCCCGCCTTTCTTTGGCGGACAATGAATGCCACATTATTATTTTGTAGTTTGTCAACCGAACCGAACCGAACACCGAACACCGAACCCAACCCCGAAAAAGGCGTTTTGAGAGACGCGAGATGAGAGATGATAATTCAATGTCGCTCGGCCAGCGCACGGATGCAGATACAATATCTTTTTATACAGATGATGACCGCGCAGGCCAAAGGAATTGTAATTACTTGGCTGTCGCATTTGTATCTTTGTATCTTCATCTGTGTATCTGCATCTCGTATACATGTGGCTGTATCTGTGGCAGCCACAATGGCATCAGCATAACAATACACCCATTGCTGTAAGCTCCGGATCTGGTCCTCTCCCTCAACTCGTCCGCGCGTACTGTCTCGCTTAATAAGCGCCTAAATAGTGTCAATGATTAATTGCTTTTGTGATTAGATGGAAATTTAATAGATTTTTTATTGTCTGAACGGCGAAATTGAAATTCTATCAAGGTTTTTGGGTTTCTGGTAACTGAATGTTGCCAGAGGCACGTCGACTCGTTTTTGTCTCCCTGCAGCATCATTATTACCCTCGACACAGCTTCGGTTCAGTTATTTGTCAGCCATGGAAAAGAGCCGCATCATTGTTACCAATTTCGAATTCAAATTGAAATTCACACGCGTCACGCTGCCAGAAAGTGGCAGAAAGCAACGCTTGATCTGCCCCTCCCCCTGCTCCTGCCGCTGACCCTGCATTGGCTGCTTCCAACTTGTTAGCTTTGGGAAGTAAGAGAGATGGCCCAACCTCTGCGAATTCCTGTTATATTAAATAAGTAATGCCACCGCAAAAATCCCCAAAGCCGACCGAGACCACAGCCAAACGGAAATAGATACGCAGAAGTCGAAGGACTTCCAATCTGCTCAAATCCCACACAAAGTCGCAAAGGAAAACACACATTGAAAGGGGAAATTCAAGTGGAAATTACTCAATTACAACAACGGGCCAAGGGGACGTAGTTCCTGCAGTTATCCTGATGATAGTCCAAGCACTTGGACTTGCTACTTGGGGGAAACCCTACAAATATGCGATAATTACACTCCATAAAAGCGGGGGAGACAATGCCACGACAATTATGTAACCCGATAAGCGCTGGCCAGCGAGGAAAACTCAGACAGAACTTGTGAAATTAATAACTCACCTTCGGCGCCCCCCTCTCTGGCCAAACATATTTATTACAAATAAAGAGACAAACACAAAAGGCAATGGCAAACAAATAAACAGACTTGGCCCGAAACATTCGAGGAGGACGGTACAACAAAGCGTTTGGGGCATTTAATAGGCTTAACTAAGGCGGAAAAGGGAAGGGGATGGTGCAGGGAGTGGACTTGGATGGGTCGTCTGAAGTGTTGACAAGTTGTTGTGCTGCGATTTACACATGAATTTGAGCAGAAAACGGCATTCTTGGACCGAAAGATACAATTATTGCATCTCCTTCGATTGCTTTGATCAGTTCCTGGACACGTAATTTATCTTTAAGCCGGCTTAGAGAGTGCTCTATAGGCATTTGGATTGATTAACACATTGGTTAGGTTGCTGGCTCCACCTTAAAGATACTTGGATACCTCTTGTAGGTACAATTTATTTCATTGAATTGCTTTAATCTGTCAGATATCACGTAGCTCTTGGGTGTTCTTTATATAACTTAAAACATAATCATCTTGATCAGACATCGAAGATGTTTTCATAGATACATTTACTGCAGTACCTCTATCTAGTATCTTAAAATACATATCAGTAAGTATCTATGAGATACATGAATCGAGAGCTTCCCATTGGCTTAGCCCAAGACGAGCACTTTGATTAGATACTTGGAGGGAAAAGCAGCAAATGGCTGCCTCAGTGAGAGATGCAAATGTATCTCAATGTGCTGTTTACACATTAATTTCAGCCACCCCCTACCACCCACAACCACCCCCTATGTATTCGAAGTTCTCCGCCCGTTTCGTTTCGATTCCGACATTTCCATTTTCATTTCCAATTTCAATTCCGATTCCAATCCCAATTCAAATTGTGTGCGCACGCTCTCGCTGCCTGCCGGTGTGTGTGTGTGCTTTGTATCTGTGT